GGCAAAAGCTCCAATCTATTCGTGGGGAGCATCACGTACTGAGAACCGGGCTCAGCGTCCCTTTGAAGTACAACCGAGAATATGTAACACATTTGAAGTTCCGTGGCCATTACCCGGCTTGGCTAAGAAAACAATCAGTCGATTACCAAACCTGCGAAAACCTATGAGAAACAACTTTAAGAACAACTGCAGTTCTAAGAAAAAACTGTCTATGGTCTACCCAACCACTGTCCAAACCTGGAAACAGAAGATCCTGATAAAAACCTCGTACTGTTTACACACCCCCTTCAACAGGCGAAAAAACGTTAAGTCCACGCGTTTAATCCTCGTAGTACCGGAACTCGGCTGATCTCATACCCCCCTATGCTAGGGTTACAGAGCAACACAAACTTCCCTAGTACCGACCAGCCTGGTTCAGACGGCAAAGAGTGCCTTCCTCCCTCGACACTCTCGATTAGCCACACGCCCCTAAGTTACAGGGAAACCCCCCCGGCATCAGCTACGTCGGACAACGTGGTTATGCCTTCCTCCCTCGACATAACTCCATAGACCTCTTGCTCCCCCATGTTACAGAGCAAAAGCTCCAGCACCGTCCTGTGTCGTCCCAATTTTGTCCTTCTGACCTACTTACTTAGACCGACGTCCCCTCCCATGTTGAACCCCCCTTGCTTCCTCCCATCTTCCAGTTCTAACCTTTTCCTTCCCCTCCTAACATTCTATTGACAATCTCCCTAATCATAGGCAGATCTCTTTTTTTTTTCCTGAAGAAAACTTGGATTCTATTATTGTAAAAAACTTACATATACAATCCATTTCACAAGCAAGCAAGACTCAGTCCGACCATTCAATCCTCGTCAAAACTCAGACAGTCGCTTATCCCCCATCAACTAAGGTTACAGGGCAGCACGACCTGCCCCAGCTCCGACCATCCTCGTTCTGGCGGCAGAGACCGGAGTGCCTTCCACCCTCGGCCACTCCCTTCTAGCCTCAAGCCCCTAACTCATTTCAGGCTACAGAGCAATGCCCCAGCACCGGCTTCGTTGGGCAAGCTGGTTTCACCTTCCTCCCTCGGTGAACTTCACCAAACCCAAGCCCCTACCCAGGTTACAAAGCATAAAAGCCCTAGGGACAGTCTGCGTCGTCCCAGCAACGTCCTCCAAACCTAGTCGGCCTGGACTGAATCTTACTCGACTGCAAACAACTCCCAATCTCCCCCAATCCTCTTGTTTCTACCCTTTTCCAGTAGGACTTACTATAGTTAGGCCACCATCCTCCCTACAGCCTACCCTACTACCATCTTGTCAACTAACCCTCCTTGCCAACGAGACATTTACCCCACGACCTCTCCTCCCCCATATCATAGGTAAGAATTCAAAGTAATCATTATGTATTAAGGTACACACTTCAAAAAAACATCCTCCTTCCGCACCCTCGATCACGCTCTCTCCTCAGCACCCCCCTCTATTCCGCCCTGCCCCCTCTATAGGGAGCCCCCATGTCCCATCAGCCTCAGTTCAAAACACACCCCATTCGGACACCCCATGCTCCCTCAATGGAACCCCGTTAGTGTATTTCATCGCAGAGCAGAAGTCCCCCCCCCCTCCTCTGTCCCACCGCCTCGTGGTATAGCCCACCAATCACTCCTCCTGCTGAAAGGAAATGCAATCAGCTCATCCCCCTTGTCCTCCTCCCCAACCGTTGTGGTTGATCCCACCCAAAGACCAGCCAAGCCCTAGAAGAGAACACCCCCCCAAAAACACCATCCTCCTTGAGGACAGTACTCCTCCCACCTTGTACTATCCTCTTTGGAAGAAGGTCAATCCTGAGAGTGTGATCTCAAACATCCTCCCTTGCCCCAACCTTGCCTGTTGAGGCGCAACCCATTAGTTTATCTATCTAGGGATTAATCATGAGAAACTTTTTTTTTTTAAATGAATTTAACATTAGAGTAGAAATTTATCTGACAACAAAGGATTGGAATATCAAACACTTCAATTTTCAAAATAGGGAATCGGTTACGAAACTAAAGGTTAGACACATGTGATTAGAAAAAAAAAACATACGAATTTTAGGTATAGATATCTAAGAAGGATTTTCGAAATAGAATGTCAAACTTTGGTTTGAGAATCGTTTGGAGAAGACGTTAGACACATATTTGAAGATTTTTTTTAGAGAATCTGTTCGAAATCGTACTGGATAAGAGTCTAAAGAGTATTTTAGAAAATATATTTATAACAGAATCAAAAATATTTCAAGATAGATGCGATGATGAGTGGATTCAGAATTTTGGGCATACAAAACTAGAAGTCGGATACCTACCAGGTACGCAAAATAAGGATGGACCAAGATCCAAAAAAAAAAATGAGGATACGACTCAGATAAAACCAAATTACTACCTATCAGATCCACTATGGAGATTTAGAACAGTATCGACAAGCTGCTGCACGCCGAGATCCCTTCACCTCGGAACTGTCAGACCGCTATCCCAACTAAACTCATCCTCTGCCTCTTCCTGCGAGAGAAGCACCTTCTCCTCCCCATAGTCAGTGCAAGTGCAGCCCCTTGGCGAAATGCGTTGGCCATAAGAGATTAATAGGACACCGCCGCCTCCCTAAAACTTTTTGAAGGAGATTGTGTTGTGAGTAACAACGTCAAACCCGTCAACGCAGCCTCACAGAGAGTTCAATCCATGTACAACGATCCTCAAACAACCAGATCAGACGAAACAAGAGACAAAGAAATAGAGGCTGAAGTAGGAGAAGAGAATCTCTTTGATATATACACTTTCTACTCTTTTCACTCCAACCCCAACAACCCACCCATGCCACGTGGCACCCTACCCTCCATTACTCGTTATACCCCACCCCACATCCTCCCACCGTGCACCGTCACTCGCGCCTTCCTCAACATAACATCCACCACCCCCTGCCAACGACACACCCTCCTGCCTCGCCTCAATGGAATCCCGCGACGCGCCCTTCACTAAGTTGTGGCGAGCGCGCTAATCGCTTTGTAACTTCCACCCCGACGCGCGTCCGCTCTCCGTTGCTTTGGCCCAGGTGGGGCGCAGCGCTCCCGGTAGCGCTGCGCCCCGCCCCATCTTTTCGTGAATGCATCTGGCTGCATTAACATTAAGTATGAATTTTGGTCGCTCATGATTGGGGGGGGAAGAGGGGGAGAAGGGGGGGGGGGGCTATCGTCATAGACCCCCCCCCCCGCTTGTTGCGGTCCTCGCGACAACTGTCTCTAATTTCTTTTCAAAGCTTCTAGAAGCGAAGGAGAAGACATTTCTGACACTTTTTACTACTTCAAAGTTGAAATCCAGAAGTCTAGGTTTTTCAGAGAAAAAAAAAAGAAAAAAAAAATTGTTATTCTCCGGGGTCAGCCGGTTCGATGATGATATTTCATCTTTCACAGAAAAAAAAGGAAAAAAAAGAAAACACTAATTGACCAGGTTTGTTTGTACACTCGGGAATTGTTGAATGCAGACCACGGTTCGAATTTCGTAAGATCGGATGGGTGACCTGCCCCTTGTCGGATGAAATATGGCTTTGGTGATCGACAGACACACTGGTTGAGCTAACAGGGAACGCTTTCCCTTGGACGGTTGAGTGGACTTGGTTTGGTTCATTTTCGACTGCGGGCTTCGACTATAGAGATGGTTGGGGCTATGTTGCCTTAGTTTGAAGGGGAGCCATCATGGTTGAGTTATGGAAGTCAAGAAAGGCCAACCTTTGTCAATGCGCATTGTGGTATGAGGTAGCAGGTGCAATACTCCACACCCTTGCGGAGAGACATCGGGGGGCATTTACATAAGGCATGGTCACTTGCATACCCCCTCGGGCTGACGCAGGTAAGCTATTACAGGCAATGTCTGCGCACCACCCAAGGGTTCGTTCATGGTGTTGTATACTGGGTCTGGACTATGATTGGTTTGCTTGTCGTTTTTGGCCCATGGTGGTTCCGATAATTGTGCAGTTGTTTCCATACCTCGTATAACGCATCAAACCAGACTAGTTGTCACTGTAGTTCAATAGGTTTGAAATGAGGATTGTATGAAAAAGGTTAACAGTTCAAAATTGGATCACATTGAACTAAGTGATATACAAAGTGTTGTTGTCTGTTCTCCTTGTCCATGATCACAGGTATCTTGGTCTAACGGAACGGGCTCTAGGTATTCGCCTTGGGTTCAGTTGTGGCTGGCATCACAGTTACCTTAGTACGGGTTTGTCGGGGTGCTGGAATGTGACACCCTGTACAACTTTCAGGTCGGAGTATTTTGGTTCGTGAAAAGGTCCGGGAAGAACAACAAACATGGGGTGTGCCAAAGATTTTTGGAAAAATTAAGATTACTACAGTACCTTATCGGAGACTAACATAAACTACTATTTTTGTTTTTAACTACAGGGTTCCGTTTAAGTGTGGATTGGGGTCTAACGACGGTTCTAACAGATAGTTCAAAAGAATTTGTGGGGATGCAAATTTCTTTGACTGATAATTTTGTCATGCAAGATGTCTTGTTGGTAGAAACAATTGCAGCTCATATTAACAGTTTAAGACATATGCGACACCTTTCGTTATAGGGGAAATCAACTGTTATGTTATCACTCGCCTTCACAATTTTTTGGCTTACCTTGGTGACTCACCTGTTGAGAAATAAGGCATATAAAGGCACCAGATCAACAATGACCAGATTATTGTAGAAGCATGAAGCTAACGACCAAAAAGTATACATAGTCAAGATTGCTTGGGACACAGTGACTTTTTCATGAGCTAAAGGAGGCTTGGTTTGTTGGACCCCCAACTACAAATGTTGTCGTATTTGCTTAATGAGATGCAAAAACCTTAGTGGAGGAATAAAAA